ACGACACAGCACGGTCATTTGCACAGTTTAATGATGCGTGCAGGCCAAAAGAAAAAGCTGTTTGAGAGAAACGCGGATCGAATTTTATTCATGCCGACACACGCCTGATATTTTATTCAGCAAATCATGTTAAACAAGAGCTGGCTACATGTGTGACTGGCAAGAAGGGAACAGAGAAATGCCAAGCTTAGCATTCAGAAAAGCACCGCTTCACTGCTCGTAATGAGGACATTCTCCAACAGCAGGCTACAGGAAATGACAACATACTGGACCTATCCCAGGACGCGGAGAGGAAGTGTTTGAGGGTTCGTTTACTCACCAGTGAGTCTCGAATGACTTCACTCTTGTAAAAATCTAAAAAACATGAAAGAATGTTGATTAATGCACAATAAACAGGAGAAACTAAACCCTGAACGTGTTTTGCTGAAGCTCAGCTGGACACCAGTTACACAAATCTATCACATACAAATCAGAGGAACGGTGCAGTGTTAGTGCCACTTTCAAATGCATTTGCCTGAAATACTAAACTACAACTTGCTGCAAGTACAAAATAAATATAAACATAATGTGCACTGCCCATTTAACTTTATTTAAAAGCCTCTTGATAAAAAAATTGTACAAGATAAACATGATCAGTAGTGTGTGAGAGGACGTTAACACCGACCTCTAGAAATGCGGTCTCCTAAACAAAGGTGGAGGGTGAAGTACGTGTCCAGCAGTGGAGAGCCATTCCTGTTGACAATGTTTCTGGCTGCGATGCTCCGAAGATGACGCAACCGTCTCTGTTTGCCAGGAGGAAATAGAGAGGGAGAGAGACAATGTGAAATAGTGACGATTATTGATAACAGAGTTTTGTAACCAGCTTAATTTGGCTCATGTGATTGGTCAAATCTATCCCACATATAAAACAGCTTAAGTTAGCCGTCCTTTCTCATGCACAGAGGCAGCATAAGTAATGGAGGCATTACTCATCTTCATTGTAACATTATGTCAGTCATCAGTTACTTTTTAAAATCAATCCAGCAACACTTTAAGACTGGATTGTTTCAAGTTCTTGAAGTCAAGGACTTTGTTAGTGAATTGTAAAGCGCTTTTCGAGACCCTCAAAGTGCTTTACAATTCACTCTCACATTCACACACTGGTGGAGGCAGCTACGGTTGTAGCCACAGCTGCCCGGGGGCAGACTGACAGCAGCGAGGCTGCCATATCGCGCCATCGGCCCCTCTTGACACATCCTACAGTCTAACCTTTCCCTTGAATGGCCGGCCCACCTCCTTCCTGCAGCCATAGCGAGGACAAATCTAAGTCATGGGATTTCCCAAAAGATTAACGACTTCAAAAACAAACAAATGATTGTTCTCCAGGGGACTTTTAACCCTCTCCTTATTAATTTTATAATGTACATTTCTCAACAGGAAACATGGAAAACAAAAATAAAACAGCAAAATTATTCAAAACAGCTCAAACATCAGAGTCCTCTCAGACGACGCTCGAACAGAAGAGCACTGCATGTTATAAAACGACCATACAAGTCCGATGGTGACACGTGGCTTGTAATCTGGGTGACTAGGTGGTCACAAGCCTTCTGTTATTCATGAGCATGCAGACATTATTTTAGATCAGGCGTGGGTAACTCCAGGCCTCGAGGGCCGGCGTCCTGCAGGTTTTAGATGTGTATTTGATCCAACACAGCTGATTGAAATGGCTAAATGACCTCCACAACATGTCTTGAAGTTCTCCAGAGGTCTGGTGATGAACTCATCATTTGATTGATCTAAAACCTGCAGGACACCAGCCCTCGAGGCCTGGGGTTGCCCACCCCTGTTTCAGAGAGTGGACTGACCAAACTAAAGCAGATACTTCTGTAGCCCTGATAAGAAAACACACTTGAACGCCAGTTTATTAAGTACAGACCGTTAAAACTGATGCCAACTTTATGCAAGAGGCTTCCAACAAGTCCCCACTCTCATGCATTTAAAAATAAACGTAAGCTTTTTCATATATGAACTGCAGCACTGAAAACTAAACCCAGACACGTATAGGTGAGAATGCTCAAATGTTCAAATAAGTGGGACGGGACAAATGGTCCTAAAAGGTCTTCTGATTGCCCAAGAAGTTCATGTAATGTGACATTTATGCATGAGAGGGTAGTGCAAATAAGTTATTTCACAGCAAACGAATTGGTATCATGTGTACTGCATACGGAGACAACTCCCACACATAAACCAAACTCAGTATTTCCAGTCATCTGAAGTGGATTATCTCCTCTTATTCGCTACACGCAAAGAACCTTTTGGTCACACACATAAAAAAGTGTGACCGAAAAGTTCCTCGAATCTACGTACCATATAAATCTAAAATGACTTAATTGAATTCAATTTTCCCTTCAAAGTTTTCTTGTCATGCACTACTGGACCAGTTTCTGGACTGCTGCTAATTAAAACTCCCGAGTACCAGTGTTGCCCATGTGTACCGAGTGGGATGCAAATGCGTGTAAGGTGGATTCATGGACCTCAAACGCCCCTGAATTTATGTCGTGGATCATAGCTGCTGATGACAGCTGAATCTCAGGTTATGGCCCAGAGATAAAGTGACAGTTTTCATTTAGTCCACAGTAGCCAACCCCGAAAACAGTGCATCAGGTCAAAGTGCATGCTTGTCGTTTGCTTTTCACAATTATAGTATATATACACATATATATATACACACACACGGTTTGTGGAGTATTCAAAGTATTCAAAACTGCTTAGTTAAAACATTTATTATCTAGCCTGAGATCAGCACTGATTATAACCTGTAAAGTGAGTCAGTGTTTACTCAGTAAACAAGTAAACCAGTAAGGTCAGAGAGTTTCAAACTCCCGTCTAAACTGGAAAGATTGGTGCACATTTAAGAATTTAAATGATGTCCCATTACAATTTCGCATTAGTGTACCAATAAAGTAAGCTTCACTCATGCCACCAATGGGTCGACTGTCCCACCAGGAAATAGAAGATTCTGGTGCTATGGAACTGTCAAAGATGTCTACACCGATTCCTCTTCTAGGGGCGTCTGATCGTAGTGTGGTTTATCCTGTCTACGAGAGGCTACTGAGACAGAAGAAAGACCCTACACTGACATGACAATATGTGGCCGGGCTGCTTTGACTGTATGGGAGGTCTTTGAGAGTGCTGACATTAATGATCACACTACACATGTGACTGATTATATTCATTTCTGTGTGGACTCTGTGGTCCCAACCAAAAAGATCAAATGATGCGAATGACAACCCTTGGGTGTCAAACAAGTTCAAAGACCTTATAAGACAAAAATGCTTTCAGGAGCCACAATGATACAGCCGGGAGGGACCTTTAAAGACATTAAAAGACTGATTATGGCAGACAAGTACAAGTACAGTTAAAAGACAGAAGGCACTTTGTCATCAAGAAAGCCCAGAGATGCATTGCTATAACAACCAATGTCCCACATAAGGATAGGGGATAGGCTTCGCTTGACCTGCATGGTCGAATCTGAAGATTTTTAGATCATCTCAGTCTTGTGATACTAAATATTTAAATTTGGAAAGTATCCATAATTGTTCCTGTTCCTAAATCTCCTAGACCTTCAGGTCCCAAAGACTTTAGACCTGACCTTGCATCACTGGTCTTGTACATGGGATCATAAACATGGCATCAAAGAGGCCGCTGAAATTTGCCTACCAACACCGTATGAGGGTGATTTATTGAACTATTTTACGTATTGCACACGCTACTTGTATTTGTGGCCATTTCCCTGCCTTTTAACTACGAGTTGGGTTAAAAAATTGATCTTTAATTGATGAAAATTGGTCTTTAAGTCTGACGTCATTAGCCGTTTCCAAGTCCAGATCTTATAAATGGACTAAACTTCAGTCAGGAGAACAACTGAGATAATCCATCCATAATACGAGGTTAGTCATTAACATACTGCTGCATGGGCTGGGCTGGAGTTACATCGTAAGGTTTTAAAAACTGAGCTTTAAAAGTAACAGTGGTAATAAAAACCGAGAGAGGCCGACAGTGATCACTGACTGTTTTAGGGGCTTGTTGAGATTAAACAGAACAAGATACAAAGCATTAAAACATGTTTAAAACACAACAGCCTTATTAAACGCAGAGTAGTTTGGACCCAGAAGCAGGATTCATCACATCATCACTTAAAAACCGGATTGTGATATATAGCATGGAGGTATCCTATTGATATAGAGACACCAAATCTCAGTATTATTTAAATAAAATACTCTGGGAATACTACAAACAAGAGGGTTAATCTCATGCACCATCATCCTGCAGGAAGGTTAGCTGAGCAAACATACATGAAATCAGTGCAACCAAGAAAACCATGCAACACTGGACACGCTTAGCTTGACAGAGCACAAAATGTTTAAAAACAAAAAAAATCCTGATATATCGTATTGTGAGTCAAGTATTGTGATGATATTGTATTGTGGGGTGTTTGGTGATTCCCACCTCTACTTTAACAGTTTTACTGAGTATTTTAACAGATAAAAGGGAAACAGAATTTTCACTTCCGTCTTGTTTAGCTTTCGAGATCAATGATTTCCTTGGTAGTTAAACCAGAGTAGGAACTTTACTTTCAGACAAACTGACAACTTCCACAGGCTCCCCTCAGGATTGCGTTTTCTGTCTTATGTTGTTTATTCGGTGCACAAACACTACTACCACTTCAGTGAATCTCTTACGTGATGGAAAGGAACAGCATGGACCAGATCCGGATCATTTCATTAAATGCTGTGAGGTCAGACCTTGTTCCCAACACAGCAAAGATTTCAGGGGGCAACAATCATCCCAGCCAACTATCACCAAACAGCTGATCCAGTCTGTGACTGAGTATCAGTACCTTGGGGTTATTCTTGACCACATGTAAAGAATTTTTCAAGGAAACTTGTATCTTTCAATGCGGGCTCTAAAATGCTCCACGTGCTTTTACTGAAAGTGTTCTGACTTTCTTAATCTTTTGTTGGTTTGGAAATCCCTCTGAGGAACACTAAAAATCTGTAAGAAAGACAGTAACAGCATGAAGTGAATTGCATTACAGAGTTAGGAACGCATTTATAGTTATGGTGTTAGATGTAACGCAAATACTGTTGTGGGTGATGAGAGGCATCCATTTGCCTCCTCTTTTAAAGTGAAACCATCTGGGTGGCGCTATTACCCCCCCTGTGCTTACAAACACAAGCCAAACTGTAATTTATTCCTCACGGCACTTAATAGAGCATTTGTAGCAACAGATGTAGAGGGCACCAATAACAAGGTTGTTGGATCAATCCCCAGTCCATATTTTGAAATATACTGAACCCCAAGTTGTTCCCAATGCATCCATCAGGGTGTGTGTGAATGTTAAGAGTGCATAAAGTGTTTAGGTATAGATAAAAACAGGGTTTGGATGCATTTGAATGGGTGAGTGAGGCTTGTAGCAGAAAGTGCTTTGAGTGCTCAAAGTGAGTGGAAAGGCACCATACAAGTACCAGTCCATTTACCATTTTAATTTTTAAACATGGGAAACACATACGTTTGCCAGCAAGTTCGGACAAATCATCCTGTAAGGTCCAATGAAAGGGTCTTGATGTATTGTATGCTTTTATGCTGATGTGTTTGTTCTTTGTTGGTGTATGGAAATGCCACGTGGTTTCTGCAATCCAATTTTCTCATAATGACAAAGGTATTTATCCATCTAGGTCTCATGTGGTTAAAATGAATGTGCATATAGCCTGCACTAAGAGGTCATCATCAGGTTTTTTAATGAGATCACAAATAAACAAGAGGACCCATGTTAATTAAACAAATACAAAGGAAAAGTATTTTAAATGAAATCTCTGATGCTTTTTAGCAATTTATGGCCCAAACACAAAGCCAGTTGGTTTCCACTGTAATGCAGTAACTGCAGACGATTAACAGATAGAAAAACCCAACTATTTGCATGGCCAGAGTTCACAGATAAGCGTAAACAACAAATTGGTATGCTGATTCTTTAAAGAGCAAGTAATGTGTGTATTTAGCTGCAGTTTAAGTAAAAGATTTTACTTACACACCACCCTCAAAAAACTGCATATCAGAGACTTGTGGTTTCCCAAAGTAAAAACAAAAATACCCAGTATACAGGATAAGATTGGAATATGTCGATAGTGCTAAAATGAGGACATAGTTTGAATCATTCCAAATTGCATTATCAAAGTGTCCATCTAAACGATCCAGCACCTATCTGGGGGAGAAAAGAGTTACACTTAGTGGTGTAAACACATTATACTGTCTGTCATTTCACTGAGAAAAGAAAATCTAATGGTGCATCAGTGACACCCACGTTATGAATCCCAAGAATTTGCAAATGTCAATACACATTTGCGAGGTTTAACTACCATGAAGTAATAGTAGTAGTAGAAGATTTAAGTTTGAGGATTCATTTTATGCTGTAGGTTAACTCCATATTTTGGTTCCTAATGTTCAGTTTAGTGGTGTGAAGCAGGATAACAGTTGAAACAAGCCCAGCTGCACACAGACCTCTGACTCACTGAAGCGAGGAAGTGTCATTTATCTTAACCCTAATAAAGATATTTGAAAACAACATGTTTTTTACTACAATTAATACCCAGCCAGTAAACACTGACGGGGATTGGTCGGTAGGAGACTTATTTCCGGTTTAAGGTAATCACAACCAGAGAAGCCTACATGTCAAATGAATGAAAGCACGGAATTTAAAAGTCTTCCACTTGATCCCCGGGGTTGAACGGACCAATAACGCAATCAGTCTTGAAATGCTTCAAATCACATTAAAGCAGCCGTACGAGAGCGTTTAGTGTCAAAATAATGACACGCTGTATGCTGATTTTACTTAGCTGTCACCTGCGTGCTGACATAACGCCAAGTTAAGTTACCATTAGCAGAAGCATTACTAGCTTTGTACATAAATGTGTAGAAAAATAATGCGATATGGCAGTACCATGAAAAGGCTAGGCTCCAAACGCCAAACACCGACCTAACTGGTCTCGGCGTGTCTGGCGAGTCAGACACACTTCCATTTATTTCCAACGGGCTAGCTAACTGCAAGCTAGCAACTGCTAGCTAGCTAGCCTGCCAGGCCTGCTGTGGACCTCCGGGCAGCAGTTACAAACTAGTACATAACACAATATGGGAGCCCGGTCCAAGTTTTCCCGAGTTCACCTGAATGAGTGTGATGACAACGAAAGCTCATGGGATTTGCATTTACCTGCTGGGATGTGAGCTCCACATGTAGGGCTCGAGAGGCTGAAGCTCCAGAGTTGGTGACAGAGGCGGCGGGGATAGCAAGAACCCGACCGGTGATGGAGTTCATCCTCCTGTCGGCATCTAGCAGCAGCCCCTCATTCAATAAAGCATCCCATCTCAGACATTCACGACACTTGGCTAAAAGTTGACGAAGTTCGGGAAAACTAACAAAGACATGCAGACACGAGTGTTTCTGTGAGGAAAGCGCTACAACAGCTGTCAGCTAACCAACAGGACGTAAACAAACTCTCGGCTATTTCGCTACGTTCGGAAATCCGTCTACGGAGAGGAGGTGCGGAACTTCAGTTGCTGATTGGCTCAAACCAATATCCGTCACGTAAAGGCGGTGCCTGGTCGTGAAAATTCGCGTTTCTATTGGCGGTATCATCTGTTTGTCTCCCTGGAGGGGACGAGCATCCGTTGAATTCTGTCAAAGCTGCAAAATATGAGGAAGTTGTATGGTACAGCGTGACATGCAGGTGACAGTTTTAACGGTAGCACTGATCTCATAATCTCTACTGGTACAAAGACAGCCAGCGACCAAAGCATTTAAAATGTATATGCAAACTGATATGAACTTTTTTCGCTAACTTTCAAATCATAGACAGTATAATACGAATACACAAATAGAGACAGGAACCAACTGCAGAATACGCGGGTAGCTTAGGCAATGTAAAACTTAAACACACACATATTTAACATATTTGCAAATTAGTCGATGTTATATTTCTTAGGCCTCTCTTAACGTTGCATGTCAGTTTAGATTCTGATCTTGTGTTTTGCGTGTAACTCAGTAGTGTAAAGTTGAAATTCATCTTTAAGTACGATGACTTGTAAATCTACCACCTACATGTGAGCAGCACAGTTATTTCAGCTTCATTCACACTGACTGCAGAACATTAAGCAACCACTAGGGGGCTGCCACATTAAATAGTTGCGCTTCTACAGGGCCAGGAGACTGAAGGCTGCAGTCAGATAACGACCAAAAGTAGCTCCTACCCACGTTGTCACCTTGACAAAAAACGTTAAAATGTAAAAGAACTTAGGGAAAATAAAAATGGACGTTCTCGATGGACTAATGTTTTTTTTAAAATAATGTTTAAGATGTTTTAATAAAGTCATATAAAAGAGAACCAGTAGCAAATAATAATAATAATAATTAACAAGGTTGTAATTCAGATAAATAGGAATACAAGGCATATAAAGTGAAATAATTGCGTTTTGCACTAAGATGTGTTGCTCCTGTCATATTTTTTTCTTATAAGCTGATAAAAGGAGCCAGAGTAATTCCTGTCTTTATTAAGGCTTTCTGAGACTAAAGTCAAATTAACTACTGACCGCACTAAAAAGGCCATAAGAACAAGTATAACTAACAGAAACTGAATAATGAAAAACCTTAAATGAACTTTGCTCACAGGCTTTATTCCTCAAACATTTTCAGTTTCACTTCTGAAAACAAGGCAACGACTCCATAAGCAGTAGATACAATGTTTATCATTCCTTTGTAGGTTTAACAATTTCAAAACATGACATACACAAGAGTGTATATGGTTAGTGCATAAAATGGAAAACGTACAATTAACATTTACACGAAATGTCACTTTTCATGTTGATTGTTTTTAAATGGGGTGGAATAATCCTCAAAAATCTTCAGTTCAGTTTTATTTGCATAGCACCAGCAGATGTGGAAGCTAAAGTTTAAAATGGTCCCAGTGGTAATTAGCAGCAGTAGGAGCTGTAACCCTGAAATTGGAAGAGTGGCTCCAGAAAACTCCAGGTATAACATCAGAGGTGTCGGTCCAGACGGCACAGAGCCCTAAACTCGCAGGTCTCTGGTAGAGAACGCGAGCTTAAGGATCACATCTGTATCACCTGCAGGGAGGGATGAAAGGGAGCATATTTTTCCTCCCATAGAGGTAAATTGTGGTTTCAGAGGTATACTGTATGGCCCAGCTGGACTTTGAAAGTTTTTGCTGATAAGAGAATTGTAGATAATATTAAATGCTCTCCAGCCAAATACTGTTCAAAGCAAAGCATATATTTGGTGGGCGTGCTCCCTACACAGCACATATATAAGACTCAGATTTGATAAAACATTGACATAAATGTGGGAAAGACTTCAAAGACACACCACACGTTTTTCTGAAAACTTACAAAAGTTTAATTTAAACATCAGCAGAAAGATTATGCTACTCATCACACAGACAAGTCTCGCTGCTTATTGCTTGCAAATCCATTGCACAGGTATTACACTGCTCCATAGTAGTCGTCACAATGCTCAAACCAGTGAAAATCGCATCTGTAAATTCAGCCAATTCTCTTACACTTTATTCCCATCGACATGACACACGCTCGCTTATTTTAAATGATTCCCCTGAAAGATTTTTTATAAAACTCACTGTAAACTGGAATCATCAAACATCAGGATTTTCACCCACAAAACCATTTTATCCGTTTCAACTACAGCTCAAAACCTTCCAAGACACTTAAGTTACAAGAAATCACGTAGTTTACACTGCATACATTAAATGTATCCACCCAGATAGAAACCCTGTCACCAGTATGAACATTTAAAAAGAAAAAGAAATAAGCCAAGCAGAGCAGTGGCTGTCTTGGTGGGGAGGGAAGGGGGAATCTTTGAGACTAAAACGTCAGAGGGTGATGTGAAACATCAAAAGTGCACCAGAAATATTTGTTAAGACAAATGCACTAAAATAGGCATTTAATTGCTACAGAATTCAATTAACACTGTAAGGCTTTTTTACAGTCTCATGTGTTTGTGCATTCACCATACCTGGTAAAATTCCTTCACTTTTGGCCTTTAACCAGCAGGAATCACCACATGTCTGTGGACATCATATGTCTTTGGCTCGATTAATCTTTGGCCACTACCCAGTGATAAAGTGGTACCTTTCATTTGCATTGTTTGTGCGTTCAGCGTGTAGAGCTGTAAAGGAGCTTAGGATGAAGTCCTGCAAGTTACCTTCTGGCTCCATCTAGTGGAGCTTAGTGACCACTGCCTGAAAGAAGCAGTTAAAACGTGACGCCCAAGTTTTAAAAGAAAACTGGGAGGGAAAAAAGGCACTGATGAGGCACTGTGGGCAACCAGACAAGAGCAGCTGGGAAAGGCCACCATTCATTAAACCTGCCGTTGCCTGAGAAAGCACTATGCGTGTGTGTGAGTGAGATGGCGCAGTGAGCAAAGGTTTCTTCAGTAAACATGCAAAATGTGTCATCTGCAGTCCAGAGATAATCTAGGCACCCAGGTGCGATGGCGAAGGTGACGAAACGAAGACGAGGCGAGGGGTTTGGAGATGCACAGTTCGGGCCATTAGCAGCGACCCGTCAGCTTCCTAGTGGATGTGCAGGATGTCACTCTCTTTCAGACCAAAGCGCGTCTTGTACTTGTCAAAAAGGCACTGGAGGGACTTGATGTACATTGCATGGTAGAGATCCACCGTTTCCTCTGATGCATCCTCAATTTTTGGCACAGTGATTGGCTCCCCAACTATTAAAAAAAAAAAAAAGCACACAGGAGACAAACAGTAAAACAAACAGTTGAGCAAATATTGACTGTGTCCTATGAACTGTTTGGTTGGTCACTGTCCTACAAAAACGTCAGTAACACAGCCATGTCGAGGTCAGACAAAACTAATCTATACCGTACAGTCAAAGCAAACACGAGACAAACTTGCCTATGGTAGTGATGGGCTTGGAAAAAGGCACAATGCCCCAGGAGCTCCCAAAGAAAAGGCACGGGGCAAAGCCCAACATCTTCTGTAACTTCTTTTGCAGAGACCTCCAGACGGTCCCCTCGTCGAAGATCACCTGCTTGTAGGCGTCGTTCTCGCCGAAGGAAAAGACTGGAACCAGATCAGCCCTGAGGGAACAAAGCAAGTGACTCAACACACCTCCACGACCGTGCAAAAGAACGACACATCTATGCGAAACATCTAGAACACATAAAAGGTCATTGAGAAAAATGTCAGTTAATAAACTAATATTTGTTCACTCTCCTCTTGCTGAAGCTTTGCAGACTTGCTGTTGTTCACATGACCAGAAATTTGGTTTTATGGTTCTATTACAATCCTGTCTGTGAATCCCCTGGTTTTAAAAGCAGTAATAAGAACAGAGTTTGAAGCGTTGCACACGTGTGATAACCACCACGCAGCGCTCAATAATCGACCTTCCTTACATGTGTCTACTTGCCTGAACGGCCAGCTTTAGTTTACCAAATATTCAAAAACAGGTTTGGATTTATGGTGCAACGTGCAGATCATCAGGAATCGGTGCAAGGAGCACAAAAAAGCATTCAATGTCCCTGTGGGGAGGAGCAGCCACGTTTTTAACAACTGTGGAAGGTGTTATGTGATCGGGAAATGTCTTAAATCCACCCTGATCTGTAACTAAGCTGGAGTCTGAATGTTTGCAGGGCCGTTTTTAGACCACAGAATCAGTCGTTTTTAGAGAGATTTTTTCCAGCTGTTTGTGAAAGATTAAATCTGGTTTTCCATCCAGTATTTTAGAAGAAACAATCAGAGCATCAATCCCTTTGACCAAAAATAAACAATAAATATATTTGTTCAAGCAGACACTTGTTTTTTGACGACACAACACGTTATTCAGCTGGTTGCAACATCGTCTATTTCATAAGCACTGAAACAAAGCCTTAGAAGTTCCACAAAATCAATCCAAAGTGACCCAAATTCACATTTGAGGCTTACATCAGCTGCTCTGCTAGCCTAATTGTAATGAATAAAGGTCTGCATAACTGCATGTCTTTTCCAGCGTGTTCTAAGCTTCTTTGGATAGGGTGCACCCACTGATATGATAATCCTCGGCTGCATTTGTGAAGGAATGGGCTTGTTTGGGCTGGTGAGACAAACCGTGGGCCTTCACGCTGCAGTCTGTCTCATTAACGCATAGCCAAGGGGGGGGAGCTCAAACTGACCAGCCCTCTGAAAGTGAACTACATGTCATGAGGAGCTGAGCACGGACAACACTGCACATTCATAAAATGATTTAGCAGCTCTCTCTTTGCAAGCATGTGACCTTTCTGGGTATAATAATCTAGGATTTTGTTATTCCCGTGAGGTGCCGCAGCTCAGGGAATGACATTTTCACGTTCAACAACATATTGTGCGGGTCAGTGAAAACCACACGTGCGCAGCCGACTCACCCTTTCTGCAGCGCTAGCTTAACAAAGCCTTTACGATTCTTCAGGGTGACAGAATTCAAGCCGGGTGTGCACTGCAGAGACTCGGCTGCCCCTCCGACAACGA